TAGATTTTTCTGACCAGCTCTGTATGGAGACAGCTCACATCCCAATTACATATAAGCAAGAATCTGTCCTAGTATGAAACACAGACTAGAGGCTTCCCTTTATATCTCCCACTGTCAAAGTGCCTTTTATTCAAATGCCCTACATAAAAATTAGTTCTCAAAATCCTTCTAGAAACAAAATCAATATTGTTTTTATAATGAGTAAAGAAAGGACACTTTTATACTTTGTAATGGAATTATGTGCACAGATGGGTGGGCTAGCACTGTCCCTGTGCTAGCATGGCATATGTTGAAATACAAAATCATGTCAGATCAGTAGCTCAGCTTAGAACTACTTGTTGACACAGAATTTCCGATAAGCTATTAAATGTATACTACTTCCAAATGCAACCAGTTTTATGTGAGCTAGCTCAACTGTTTTGCCAAGCTATTTTAGTTCCAGGATTATCTTGCTAAATCTGAACCTCCTCTAAATAATTTGTCTAAATGCCAAAATGACAAAAGCAGAATTGAAATTGTCTCCTCCTGGCTGTTAACATATCCACTGCATAGCGAATTTCCATATTTTATTATACTATGAAAAATGTTTAGAATTACATAATTTTCTAGAAAAAAAAGGGGAGAAAAACACCACTTAATATCCAGTTAGTCTTTTACAATATTTGGTTCTGCTCCTAGTTCTAAAGCAGTCTATAGGTAAGGTTTTTCAAAATCTTGGTTCGCAAATTTTAGGACCTCTGCTCTGTTTTTCTGTATCTGATATTAGCTATATGAATTGGAAAGCAGCAAAAATCTTTTCGATGATACAGAGGAGAGTCTGGATGAATTGGGAAGTACAACTTAATTGTGAACATAATTGCACTTCTTGTGGATAATTGCAATCATAAGTCAAGATAGCTTCTAACAGTTAGGTCAGATTTTTAATTTTATGATCTAAATTATTAATGAGAATATTTCCATAAGCTTTCTGCATAAAAATTGACTTCATAACAGAGAGGTCAGCTGGTCCTGTCTTCTAGTCTTTATGATTATCAGTGGTAATCAGAAACTGTTCCCCCATAAATGTGTGCTGCTTTTATGCCTCCTGACATACATACCAAATGTAGATGGTGAATTACTTACAAGCTTTATGAAGAAAAATTAATTCTGTAGGCTCTAGTTAAAAGAAAATTAAATTAGACTATGCATGTAGGATTAAGAAACATGAAAGATTAAATGGCAAGTGTACACAGGAATAGTATTTTTTTTTTTTTAAAAAAAAAGAAAGTTATTTAATACCTTGGGCATCTTGAAAGCCATTTTGAGTCAATTATGGAAAGACCAATGCAAGCTACTTTTCACAGTGTGGTTGCAGTCAGACAAAATGGTATGATGCATAAGGAAGACAAGCAGATCAGTACAAGAATGCATAATGCTGTTGTATAAATCAGTAGTGTTTCCACATCTGACAGCCACATTGAACGCAATATATCTTGAGACTGATACAGCGGTAATATAAGGAGACTTGAGGCAAGTGGTGAGGCTGATTAGGACTATAAAGATTTTCATAAGAGGATACTGAAAGGTTGAGATTATTTATGCAGCAGATAGATTGGAAACTTCCATAACCTGCTTCCTAAAGCAAGATTTAAGAGCATATCCGATACCATCAAATAGAATAAATTCAAAACAGATAAAGAAGACTTTTTGGTGCTTACCTGAAACACAAATGAATGACAGAATTCAAGGTCACAAAGACTGAAATTTAAGATGATTCAGAAAGACTTTTGACACCTTTGTCAATAAGAATTTTAAATAATATATACTATTTTTAGAGAAGACAAATAATTTAAAAAAATAATAAGTGCTTGAGGTAAACATACTTTTAATAGAACAGCTTATTGCATCTTCTTGTGATGTATCTTGCCTGGCCAGTATTAGAAATATGGAGTAAGAGGATATTAGACAAAATGGACAATTATTTTTATTCAGGATGACAGTTTCTCTTCTTATTGCAACCTGAATTAATTTGTTATCATATCTCTTTGCTCCATTTGTCAAGAAAAAAGAATGAATGACAGCTTTGATTTCCTTTTCTGCCCCCAGAAAGTAGGTGTCATACTCCTCTTTCTGAGATTCAAAGGGACAAATATTTTGAAGCATCTTTCAGTCATATTTCATGTTTATAATCTATGAACAGGTTTGGGACTATAACAAATATCTCATTCTATGCTCTTTTTCTGGCATTTCGCTACTTTGATAAATGAGAGATAGTATATTTTATAATTTCAGGGATGCTCAGCTGGAAACACTTAAGGATCTGTTTTATTGTAAACACTCATTCCTTGAAAATTGTTCTGCTTCCAAGTATTTCCATTTCTGTACTGAGTCAACTACTGAAAGTCTTGACATAATAGTTCAAAGATTTTAATACATTCCTAAGAAGTTTGCTTGAAAAGAAAGTTCTTCTACTAAGATTGTCTTCTCCTACTAGCCCTATTTATAGAAAAAACATGTTCCAAGCCCAAAAAGTAACCATTCTTGGTTTGGGTACTTGGATGCTGAACCAGGATCTGAATTTTGTAGCTACTTTTTGTCTTCACAGAGATTTGAAATCCTAAATCCCATTTGTGTTAGCTGTCAAATTAGCAAGATATGGCTGTGATTAGAACTGCTAAAAGAGTATTTCTGTTCTATGGGATTTTTGTGGAAAAAAAAGAAAATTTATTCAGATGTGGAATTAAAAGAGTAAATACTGGAAGTATTTTTCCCCAGAAATAAAACCAAAATTAATTACTTAGAGTTAATAGAAATCTGATAGATTCAGAGAATATTAAGGTTGGAAGAGCCGGTCAAGTAAGAGCAGGTTACTCAGTGCTGTGTCCAGTCTGGTCTTGAGTTTTGGTTTTCATCCTCACAATGAAATTTATTCTCCTGATATGTTAAGTCAGATTTTCCCATGTTCCAGCTGGTGCCTGTTGCTTCTCGTCCTTTCCCTGAGCAGAGACTTTGCTCCCTGGTGCCACTGGGGTCCCTGGGTGCTGCTGGAGAGCTGCTCCTGCTGTCAGGAGGTTCTCCTTCTCCTTAGTGCCTGACCTGCAGATGCCTCCAAAGAGTGTGGATCCCCTCCAGGTGCAGGTGTGCGCAAGTGTATGTTAAAAAGTACTGTTAGTGAGCATTTTTCCTCATCAGTGCCCCTGAGGGACAGCTCTAATAGCCAGCTGCCTCCTCAGTTGGGTCAGATGCTCACAGCCCACAGTGTGGTGCCTGGCAGTCCGGCCAACAGTCCTTGTAATCCTCCTCACCCTATTTACTCTGAGGACACTGTGGGACACCATGTCACAGGCTTTAAGTCAAAGTAAACAGCACCCACTGCTCTTCCTTCAATCACCAAACCAGTCCTGTATTCTTGGTGAGCTCTCAGATGGCACAGTTCAACCCTACCAAGTCCATGTGGCCTATTCCCAGTCATTTCTTGGTTTTCATATCCTGGGTGCTGTTTTCTGGAGGATTTGGTCTGTAACCTTCTCAGAGACTGAGGACAATTAACCTATATTTACCTGGAACCTCCTTTTTTTCTGTTCTTGGAGGTGGATACGATATTCATCTTTTTCCAAAAGTCTTAGCCTTGAGAAGTCCACACGAGGTATTGTGTCACCATGAAGCCTTATTTCATTTGACTTCCTCCTTTTGTGTAGGCCCAAACCCTAAAAGCCACAATCTCCCACAGTATGTCTACTTGATTATATTTTTTCATGGCAAAATACACATAATCTTTAATATGAAAAATCATAAGTTTATAATTCATAGTCCAGTTGTAGATTACAGAATTTGAGATGTTTTGCTCAATGGCCACTCTGTCAGAAGTTCAACTTTTTTTTCTATTTATTTTTCCCCCATATTTATCCCACATCTCTCTCTTGTAGGATTAAATTCTAGTAAACCAGAAAAAAACCTGTGCTGAGTGAAAAACTATTAATTTGAGGTTACTTGAAAGGTCCCATACAAGTAGTTGTTCAAATGTAACATGGAAATGCTGCTTAGAGTGGTCTCTGTTTATAGAAGGGAAAGTAGTAAGAGACAAATCAGAAGGGATCATAAAATATATCTTTGAGGACTATGACAAACATACTGTTCAGTCCTGCTACAGTACAAATATCTGTGGTAGTAAATCTACCAGGCACTGATAAGTTATAAGGAAGAAAAGAGGCTGAAGCATGTTCAGTCTGGCAAGGCCACAAAGTCAGAGGAGCTGGTAATAGCCTGCACAATAACTAGAAGGCATTAAGGTTTAAAATGTGATTTTAAGGTTTAAAATGCACAGTGATTGGTGTCATTCATGGTTGTCTAACAAGGAACATAAAATGAAATTAAGGGAAAGTGTATCAGGAAAATGTGTAATTGGTGAGGTGTTAATAAAATGTGGACACACTCCCATGGGAATGCGAGGGACAGCCCGTGAGCTAGGATTATGTAAACTGCATTAACTATCACATTAGAAAATTTTATCAGTCCTGTATGAGCAGAGAAATGAATGGAATACTTTAATGACAATCCATGTCTCTAGCATCTATGATGCTGTATTACATACTCTGAAGTTATTCTATTGAAATCCCTATGGAGAAGTTGCTTCTGATTTTACTTGAGGTGGTTCAAGACCTTAGTGCTAATACAGGCCATGTTTGTCATAGTAATTTGTCTGGAAGAAAAGGTGGCAATGAACAAGGAATGGTTGTACCAGTGCAAAGACCGTGAGAAAACAGGTGTTCAGTACACCTTTAGCTGTGTACAGGAAGCTAGAATTTGTTAGCTGAATATCTGTTTTCCCTTAAAGGAAGAGTTAATTATACTTGGGGAAGGTTATATTATTCCATCCAGGAGAACATTGTACCTTTATGTAGTTTTGGGGTTTTTTTTCTGTCAAAAAGACTATTATATTCTATATTTGAAAATGTAGCACATGAAAGTTTAATTTGATTTTTCTTGTCTGTTAAGAGGTTGGGGTTTTTTGTCTTACTCAGATATCTCATTTACGGGGGCCTCAAGTGTGTGTGGAGCCCATCTTGTTCTCGCACAGATTGTTGCCTTTCTGATGAAGAGGTTTCACCATGCTAGGCGAGACTGGAGAGGAAGTCTGTCAAATGCTCTGCTGCCTGTCCTCTTCGTTGCACTGGCGATGGCCTTGTTTAGTGTGAAGCCACTGGCTATTGATTATCCTTCTCTCAAGCTGACACCAAGACTTTATGACAATGCAGAATCCTTCTTTAGGTAAAGGACTCATCCATCAACATCAGTATCCAGGGTTCTGGGACCTTTACCCTTGAGTTCTCACTTGTATTCTAGGAAGAATAATAGGTTACTTTTTACAATACCTGTTTATTTTTTTCAGATGTTAGTATATTTTTATAGAAGAGATAAAATTAGAAAATCACTGTGCGAAAGATTTTCTGGAGGAAAGGGCAAAGACTCTGGAGCAGTTTGAACTGTGTAATGTTTCAATACCATATCGATATGGCCATTTATATGTAAATGCACAAGTGTATTTAAACAAGCCCTTGCAGGCTTCATTTTAACTAATTGCTTATGTCTGAAGGTGTTTCCTCAAAATAATCTTCAGGTCTGAAAGTGTCACACAGTACTAACAAAGCCTGGTGCCCTCTGGTTTCTATATGTTCTTCTTTGAAACCAACTAGATTTATTTATTTATTTTTAATGTACAATATCTATAGCTCAGCTCTGAACTATTCTGCATCAAGTGCATATCACATACGGATCACTTTTTCTACTGGATATAAGTCCAGATATCTTCATAAACATAACAGGATGCTGTTTGAATTTATAAATGAAATATAAAAACAGTTAAACCATGCTAACAGCTAAGAATACATGTTTATAAAGAGAAAGATGGCTGAGAGTTGTTTAGCCATAATTGGATTGAATTTTCTTTACATGTTCAGATATAGTTTTTGAAATTATCTAATTTTGCTGTTTTGGTATGTTTCTTATTGCACAGATTTTATAGTTCTTTAATTTTTTGATAAACATGTCAATTCTTGAACCTCAAAGTTAATAGAAATAGACATATCAAGATGTTTCACAATGTTTCTTTTTTCCTTTTTTTTCCCCCGTCTTTTAATTTTCCTGCTATGGCCCACTTTGATCAGCACTGAAGATGATAATCTAGGAAACCTTTCTCAGATTCTACTGAGATATTTCTCTGGCTGGGACCACACATGCATGCATTCAAAACAAGGGTAACAGTGAATAATGTAATTACTTCTTTAACAATAAATTGTAAATATTGTAAATTCTATATTTTTTTTTGGTCTGTGTAATGTGGACTATCCTAAGCTTTTCTTGTCAGCATGAGGTTCATGACAAATCTGTTCTGATGAAGGAACTGGCATCCAGGCAAATTACATAAATAGGCTTAATTGTTAAAGGTCTAATCCAAATCCCTTAAAAGTCTGTGACAGACTTCCAATTAGAATGTTAGACAATAATGGCAACATTTGTTAGGAAGTATTACAGATTTCCAAATTTAGGAATGCTTTGCTTATATTGTTGCTGCAAACACAAGGCATGCAGCTCATTTGCTGCTTTACGTATATAAACATTTTTTGGTGAATCTACTTTGATACAAATGAGTAAAATTGATGTGGTTTCAGACATAGCTGCCACTGTGATAAAATGCTAAGAAGGTGTTCAAGATGCCAGATTTTTTCATTACTCTGTGGATTTCTTCTGTTAAGTAATATATTCCTTTTATTTAATGATTGTTCCTATTGTTATGTTTATTCCCATTAGAAAAAATAATTCATGTTGGCAGATGGAATCTACATCACCCCAGGATTCATGTGGATGTGTGTCTGAACAAGAGGTATGTAATTTTATGTATGTAAAAAATACGTGTGTGTATATTACATGTAATACCTTAACTCTTTTTGAAGGTCTAGAGAAAGGGATGAGGAAATAAACCCTCAGAGCACTGGCTTTGTTACAATTGGAGATTTCCTTCTGTTTCATCTAATGTTTGGCCCACATATTCTGAAGTCTTCAGGGAAAGAGCTTGCACAGTTCTGATGTATCTATAAGTGTCTGTGTAGGTGTCTATGCACTAGAAATTACTGTAGATTGATCCATAATAACAGGAATCGGAGATGGCTGAATATTGCTTGAAATATCTTGTAGAATCTTAGAATGGTTTGGCTTGGAAGGGACCTTAAAGGCCACCTAGTTCCAACCCCCCTGCCATGGGCAGGGACACCTTCCACTGGATCAGGTTGCTCAAAGCCCCGTCCAACCTGGCCTTGAACACTGCCAGGGAGGGGGCAGCCACAGCTTCTCTGGGCAACCTGATCCTGTGTTTCACCACACTCATAGGAAAGAATTTATTCCTTAGATCTAATCTAAATCTATCATTTTTCAGTTTAAAACCATTACCCCTTGTCCTATCACCACACTCCCAGATAAAGAGTCCCTCCCCATCTTTCCTGTAGCCCCTTTAAGTACTGGAAGGCTGCTATAAGGTCTCCCCGGAGCCTTCTCTTCTGCAGGATGAACAACCCCAACTCTCTCAGCCTGTCCTCATAGGGGATGTGCTCCAGCACCCTGATCAACATTGTGGCCTCCTCTGGACCCACTCCTTCTTATACTGGGGGCTCCACAGCTGGACACAGCACTGCAGGTGGGGTCTTATGAGGCCAGAGTAGAGGGGGAGGATCCCCTCCCTCAACCTGCTGGTCACTTTGGACTTTGCTTACAAAAATCTCATGTAAAATAAGGTCAAAACATAACACTTCCGTAGTATCTGGAAGTCTACTTTCAAATGGGAAGAACAGGTGCCACTAGCTGATAGAAGCTACAAGGGAATTGACACATGAATGAGACTTTAATTTTGATTTGGATTGTGTATTTGAAAATAAAACATCCTTTAAGGAAAGAAAGGATTTTGAGAAAAGATAATGATTTCTGGCCTTCTTGGCTAGTGTGTTTTCCTGCTGACTTGCTCTGATGTTGAGTAATAAACAAGAATGTGAAACTGTCTGAAGTGACAAATAAATTTCCCTGGATGAGACCTTTCTATCAAATAAATTCTCTCCTTCATACAGATAGAAATATTTAGAGTAAGACTTGCATGTGAAGTATAGAAAGACAGTTTGGGGAAAAGTGGAAGGAATAAATTAATTTTTTACTTTGCTGGGCAAGGAACAAATTTGCCTCTAATACTAGTGAGATATATACTTAAGAGAAGCTTAAATAAAGTGGGTGTGGGAACTCACATAGGGAGAGGCTTGTTAACCATGAAAGCTCAAAGCAGACAAGTCACTTGACAGTGAAGGCAGAACCTGTATCTGTGAGCTATGGAAAATTAGAATCTATGAGAGTGAAATTTGCATGGGCTTGAGATATCAAACAAGCATTAAAATTTTTCTGTTTCTATACGTAAAGTACTTTATAAAATTTTCAACATATCTGGTCATCGTTTGTCTCCTTTTCTTTGGTTTCAAGAATATCCCATGAATCATTAGAAAACATATTCATTTATTCTTCTCTGCAGTCCATCAATGAAATGTTTAGAAGCATAGTGCATTAATTAGAATTTTGTATTCTTCTCGTATTCATCTGGTGCCTTTTTTGTGTTTCTTCTCAGGCACAAGAAGTGGATAGCAGTCTTGCCTTTCTCGTTGTAAACCTTTCTAAACTTACTATATATACATTTAGAAAACAAATCTGAGTTGCAAGAGAAATCAAAGGTTGTTCTAATATGTAGGTGACACAATAATTTGAGATGTCTTAAATATAAAACCGTACATAATTTGTTGAAAAGTTATCAAAGCTGAGAAAGACAAATCCAGTTTAAAAGCAGTGCTGTAAAATCAACGTAAAAATATGGCTTAGTGTAACACCACTGCTTTTAAAATGCATACTGTTTTTCAGATGTGTCCAAGTTTCAATACCTCTGCTCCCTATATGAAGAATAAGAAAGGACATATTTTGTATAATCTTTCGGGATTCATTGTGGAAGAATATTTAGTGAGGCCTTCCAACAAAGCCAGGTAACCTTAAAATATCCAAGACTTTTTTGTCCTTTGTGTGTAAAAAACACAGTCTTTCCTGATCTAAAGCATAGAACTATGTCACTGAGAATATAAGGGATAGTTGCCTTTATCTGTTAGTTATTAAGACATAGAGTCAGACTAAGGTAATATGGAACCCCTCGATGCTCACTTCTCAGAGCTTCCTCCAGCTGTTGCATGGTAAGTGCTTCTAAGCCATACCCTGGCTCTTCTTGCCATGCAGAGAACTATTTCAGCACCTCAGAAAAAGAAATTATATATGCATGTGCAAATTAGACAAACAATATAGTTTTCATTCCTCAGATGATCAAATAGAGGTGGCTATGCTCCAATTAATATTTTCTTTGAAGTAAAAAGGGCTGGTATTCCCCTGGCAAGACTTCATGTTCTGTGATACCAGCCACAGAGATTATAATTTGCTGTATTTTGAGGTTTACTTACATGCCTTTACTGACTTTGTCATAAGTGCAAATATTGCACAAAGTATGATTTGATCACTAAGAAGAATGTGTTAGCCATTCATGCATTAAACAAAATGTATCTGATTTGATAAAAATAAAAGTAAACATTTTAGGATGAAAAAAATTGAGCTAAAATATGAATGGAGTATGAAGAAATCAAGCTGTTTAAGATGTTTCTGAAAGTCAGTAATAACTCAAAACCCTCTTGTTTCTCAGGGATGTCAGCTTTCAGGAGGTAAAAAAATTATCTGAGGGAAAAGAGCAATAATGTTCACCTGATTCAAGACTATATTGAGCTCCTTCTTTTTAACAGAAGGAGTGTTTGTTAGAGGTGGTTTTACTTTCAGTTGAAAAATAAAGCACTAATGTAGATGTTACCACTTTACCATTGCAAGAAAGGACTGCTAACTTAAGGCAAGTAATTTGTTATTACCTTTTTTCTATTATCAGATATGGTGGTTGGTCTTTTGGAGGGAGGAAAGAATTTGAACTTCAAGAGAAAAAATTGAATAACACCAAATCTAAGCCTCTGGCTAAGGTAAGGTTTCTATGTATGTGTGCGCATTTGTATGTATGTGTTGCTTACTTATTCAGATTCCAGATTTCACAGCATTTACTAAATAATAAATCATTACATAAAATCCTCACATTTAGAAATTGGAAGAAAAACCCTCTATTCATAATTCTTGAAATATTCTCCTGTGTTTTGATAAACAGTTTTAAATGAGTCAAATTACATGTGTTGTTTTTTCCTGTGAACTTACTTCAGAGTCTAACTGAGCTCACATTTAAAACTTTTTTTGGATAGTCAGGCCACATATTCCTTTATTTTTTGTTGTTTTCCACAAAAAGTCGATGTCAGAATTGATAAAAAGTTAATTGAACATCTCAAAATTAGTTGTTGTTATTGATGCTTTCGTTATTCCTGAAAGGAATACTTTTCTGAGCTACATCACTCTCTTTCTTCCCTAAACCCACCCCCCCCACCCCCCATGTTTAGCTTCTAGGATTAGCTACTTCTACATAACAAATATGCTACACTGTGTCTATAACCCCCTTTTCAAATAAGAGCAACTTTCCATTTTTATCCCAGAGAAACAGAACTGTGCCTTGCTGAAATTAGTCAGGTTGTGAAATATAAAACTCTTCTTGACAGTAGATCATACTGTCTTGCAATGCCTACAGAATGCCATTGTTTTCTGTCTGGAGCTACCTCTGAAGTCAGGAAAAGGATTATTCCAAATACAATTGAAATAAATAACTTTTCCTTGAGGCCTTTTGGTATGCACTAGAATGATACACTATCTTCATACTGTGAAATCTTGAGATGGGACCTAGATGCTAACAGGTAATTATCAGTGCAATGGATTTTATTCTCCTTGGGAATGCTTTGAAAGTTTCTTTTGAGATCCATTCAAATGTAGACCAGTAATGAGTACAGCTGTAATGAAGAAGAGCAGTCTTGGAGGAGTGTTGAAGTGTATCAGTGAGTGGTCTCTATTTTTGTATTTGAGGCAAAACAGATTTGTTAAGAGGAAGTTCTGGACTTTCCAGATTCCAGATTAGAATATGAAAGAAATATGCTTCTGCCTTTAAATTGTTTTATGGGGGTAGAAGCAAGATTTTCTTTGCTCTCATAAAAGAAGCAGAGAAGAAACAGTGTAAATAAGCTCTATCACACAAAGTGTTAAAACAACATACAGATATTCTCTGAATATAATTTCATATTTAGTTTTGTAAAATCACTGCCTGTTTGCAATGACTTTTCCTCATCTAGTTTTGTTAAAAAGCTCCCTATCTTATATGCACACACTACCTTATATATATTTTGATTTTGGTATCATTTTTAATCTCCCTTCTACTCCCAGATTTCTTATAGCTTTGGATTCATTTCCATCAATCCTTCATTAGCAACTTGAAGTCCTAGAGGATTGCAGTAAGACATGTTTTTCTGACCGCTGTTTTTGTCCTGTGTATCTTTAATCATTTTAGACTCGTTTTGACATGCCTGCACTGTGGTTTTTGTGGTCCTTTTTTTTTTTTTTTTTTTTTTTTCCACCTGCCATCATCACAGGGATAAATTATAGTTATACTGTTAGTGAGTAAGCTTCATATTTCAGACCCAAAGAAAATAGTGGAGTAGATTTATAAAGGGCACTGTGTTATCTAAAATACCTCCTGGAAGTGGCTTTCAACTGATGCAATGTCAAATTATTGCATTAACCTTTCAGTGATTAATAACCAGACTTTTACTTTGGCCTTTCAGGCTTGTTCATGAGACAGTGAATGTAGCATTTACATAGCCTTGTATGAAAAAAAGAGAGAAATTTGCATCTGAAGAGACTTACTATACAACTCATTTAATTTTAGAAACTTTCTGAATCTTTATATGTTATTCTCTGCCACTTGAAAAGCCAACAATTTTTCCAGTTCAAACTAAAAATACCTGCTTAATTACCTATTTCGATGTACCTAATCGTACCATACCGTATATACTGCATAGGTGTTATATGCATGCACACAGAGAATGTGCATGTGTGCATGAACAAGAGAGAATAGACCTAGCACATGACAAATATGACTGATTAAAACCATTGATTATTGACATTCATTGATGATCACTGCTGTGTGGCAAAAGCACAAATTCCCCTCAATTTTTTGGTGTATTTTCATGACTGTATATTCTTTGGTTTCCTTTGATAATGTGGGCAAAAAGTGTTTCATAATGATTTAATAGTTACTGATGTTTATAACATGATTAAATATAGGAAGAACATGTGATGATTTTAAATAGTCCTGAAAGGCATTATGTACTCTTTACAAGGCATTCTGAAGTGTGCATTTTTCCAGTCTCAGAGGTTGGGATTTGAGGCTTTACTGTACAGTAAGAGTATAAGTGTCCAGAGGAAGTTACATCTCTCCAGTCATACACATCTCTCTGCCTCCCCATCATGAATCTGGTCCACAAATACTTAGGGATTTCTCTGCCCCTCCTCATCCTTTTTTCTTGATAGGCCATAGGTTATTCACAATGTCAGTCCAGCATTATTCTGGAATATTAATGGCAGATAAATGGTATGGAATAACAGAAAACATGTCTTTACGGAACTGATATTTAATGTCACGAGGGGCCATGTTTTTATTTGGAATGGAATTTTATCAACTATGGATAGAAGATAAAATAATGAAAATAAGAATTAATAATTTTAATTGATATATTTTTCATTGCTTATCTATTTTCTGCCCTCTGTAAATAATTACCTGTGTGGCAGACAAGAAATATTAAAGGCATTTCAGCTGGAACTAATATTTTTCCTTTTTTATATTTTACCTTTGCAATCAATTTAGAATAAAACATACTTTAGAAAAAAAGAGCCTAAGTATATCTTCTGATAAAGTGAACAACTGCAAATGCCTCTTTTGCCAGATTATAAACAATTAAATATCCAGATTCAATTTGGTTATTTCCTGGTGATTTCATTCACTTTCATAATGTACCTTGAAGGAAGAATTGTAATTAGCATGTGGGATATTGAAGTGTATTGTTACACACAATGCTCTGTTGTGGTTTTTTTTCTACTTTAGTTTCAATATTGGTCGCATTATTATATTTCTAAGGTGTTCTGTGAAGACTTGAGACCCTTCCCCTGCTTTAATTAAATGATGATGTGTCATCAGAGTTTTGCTTTATTGTTTTCTTAATTGCCTTTTTTTTTTTTCAATACAATGAACACAATTGCAGTGGAGGTTCATTATGTATGTATAACTTTCAATTCTGCACAAATCTTTTTAAAAAAGATAGTATAAGAAATGGCTGAGGGTGGGTGGGGGTGTAGAAAAAAAATGTCTACCCCTGATCACTTGTTAATGTTTCTTTGCTCTGGTTGCTATTTGCACAGGAGACAGAGCAGTGAAAAGATTTGCAGTTTTCCTTAGGACACTTAGATTCTATTTCACTTCATTTCTTTAAAGAACTCTCTTGCTGATTAAAGAATGGGAGATCTGGTTGATGTAGTAATTTGTGGGAATTGAACTGGAGGAGAACAAAGGTGTTGCATATGAGTTTGCAAAGGAGAAAGACTTGTTCTTTCTTTTCTTTAAATGTGGGGACAGAAGATGCTGTTGAGATTTGAGCAAGTTGTGAAGATCACATAAAGAATAGTAGAAAATGTGAAAACTAATGCAAGCAAGAGCACTGGTAGACTAAAGCTGCCAATTTTTAAAATAATGACTAACCCAGTTTATGACAAAGGAGATTCAAGGGTGAGAGGGATAGGAGAAATGACAGTGGAGCTCAGGGTGGTGTCTGAGAGCATGATATAAGATAGATGGGAGGAAATTGAATGGGCAATTAAAGTGTTGTAAACCTTGCCTCACAGCAGAGTACAATGTAGAGATTCAAACAACTAGGTAGTCAGGAAAATAAATCAAAGGAAAATAACTATTAAGAGAGAGAAACAAAACTGAAGATTAGACAACCTACACTGGAAAACATAGAGAAGAATGTGGCAGTAAAACCAGTCAAAGTCCAAGTAAGGATTGTGGCTGGACACTACACAAAAGAAAAAAAAAAAACAAAACAAAAAAACAACAGAATTATCTGCAGGTAAATAATAATAAAAAAAAATAATCTGGAAGTTTACACTAGTATCAAGAAGAGGAACACATATACATGGAAGAACACTAGATGAGAACAACATCAGAGTGGTGAGAAAATAATCTTCAGGGAAGTTTCCAAGATGTAACTGTATAGATGGTAATTTTAGAAAGGAGCTAAGAAAACTGACATCCTAGAAGGGTCTTAAGGTAAAAAAGACCTATAGTAAAAACTGTGCACTTTGCAGTGTGATTCAGAATCTGGACACAAAGTGAGTATTGCTCAGCATTATCCTAAGACGTACAAAATACAGATTAGGAGATAGCTGATATCAGAGGAAAAGGTTAAGAGTTTTTCAACTGTATAAACAAAAAGGAAGATGAAGGTTGCTGAGGAGTGAGGAATGGATAGTAATCAAAGATGATTTTAAACATGTCACTGAAACTGAAAACAAACATACATAATAATTTGACCTAGTTTTCAGTATGGATAATGTGGATTCAAAGGCACTATGATTAACAGTAATGAAGCATAGGAATGGAATCAATTTCCAAAGGCAAAACAAAACTCAAACCTCAGTATATTTGGGGTTGGGACATGTCAGGCACTCAGCAATGATTCTAACACATGAAAGTGTGAATTTTGAGTATATTAAGTTGGGATGATTCTGTATGATTTGAGGATGAAGTATATGTTACATGCTTAACAAGCCCCCTGATAATTGCTTGTTGAAGGTAGAGACACAGCTTTGTCCTTTATGGAATAGTTTCATACTGACCTTGTAAACAGTGCCTCCTTGATTCTTTCTTTCTCCACTTTTTAGGATATTCTGTTCCTAGACTTTTTACACTCTGTGCCACTTGCAAATATTATTTAGATAAGTCTTTTTGGAATTTCAGTAATATTCTCCACTTTTAACACTAGTTTTACTCATAATTTTTTATTTTCAATTAAATTGGTAAATGTTATTTTTGCATTGTTTTTCCTCTATTTGTTCAACCAAATGTGTGTAAAGGAAGGGACACAGTGTTCCATTAAATCAGAAAATCTAAATTTAATAATTAACATAGGTGTACAGCTCCAACAGTAGCTAATAAACTGCTGCATGCTGTTGAAAGACCTATGCAAATTGACAGATTCTGTTCTGCCTAATTCATCTACTTCTATAAACAGGTGTCATAACAGGAGAATCTGATATTTCTTGATGCATTTCTTCAAGGTATGGGAGCTTTCAGTCCAGCACTCAGATTCAACTCATTTTTGATTCACAATTTCCATTCTCTCTTCCAGGTGTGGTACAATCAAAAAGGTTTCCATTCGCTGCCATCCTACTTAAATGAACTCAATAACTTAATTCTGTGGCTGAATTTGCCTCCTAGTGTGGATTGGAGACAATATGGTAATAGTCCTTCTTTAAGTCTTTTTTCATATCTTTTGAAAAGTAGTTTTTATATAAACTAAAATAATTTTAGTAAGAAATTTTTATTTTTTTTTTTTTATGGTATAGAATAGGATTGCAGTGTCACACATTTCTTGGGAGGATTTGAAAGTGGAACTTTTAATTAAACACAAGATTTGTTTGTGTGAAGAATGTAGGACACAGTAGGGCAAAATTTGAATTTAGAGCTCACTATGCCATATGAGTTTCTTACAAAGGACATTCCCATGGAATAAGTGTAAATTAGGTCGCTACACTTGGGATGTAAGTCCCTGTGAAAGCACTGCTAGGGCTTGCTTAAATAGAATGATAAATGCACAACAGAGTATGAATTCATAACTTTGTCATTTTACTCTATCTCCTTAAGTAAATATCCAGGGTAAGCCCAGAGTATCCTATAAATTCAGACTGCAACATGATGTTCCATAGCATTCTGTTAAAGGCTGGTATATTTTACTATTGTACATAACAAAAGAGAGATTAACATATTTGACAGCTGAATTCTTTGATTCAGATATCCTTGAAGGGTATTAGAATTAGTTAAAATTAAAGTTTTACAAAATGACTTTTTAAAAAACTTACTATGGACAAAGAATCAGCTGTTAAAACGGGTAAGCTTTTAGGATGTTGCAATCTGGCCTTGATAGCTGAGACTAATTTCTGTTTGTTCTAGTTCCTTTCATTCTTAAGGTTCTGTTAAGGAGGAATTTGTTTGGTTTAGAGGAATTTAAAAATAGCTTATGATGAATTTTAAAGAGTTTTTGAAATCATAGGGTGGTTGTCTGTAATGGTAAAATAATTTTCAGTGTATTTATAATGAAGAAGGAAGAAACAAGGTGAAAATCAGTGAAAAGGAGTAAGGAATCCTGAGTATCTCAAACCAGAAATTCATTAAGAAGTTTCCAGAATGTAAATGAAAAAAGAATAATTGCTTGCTTTCAAGATGGCTGAGGGTTTTTTTTGTTTGTTTGTTTTGGTTTTTTTTGTTTGGTTTTTTTTTTTTTAATTGAACTATGAGAATGAATCGAAGGTAATGGATTTCTGCAGAAAGTTTGAATGAAATGAAATCAGGTATTTTAATGACAATTTTTAATAGAAATCAATTCTTAATAAAGTTTCTCTGCACTTCATGAGTAATACTGTTGCTAGCTTATTTTCTGTAGCATTAGATATCCCATTCTGGAATTTAAATGTTTAAGTACCCTTCCTTTTATATCTGTCATGGAGAACAGGGGACTCACTGTCCGGATTACAGTCAGATAAAATTATAGTTGTCCAAGGATTGTGAAAATGTTATACTTGATGTTATTGCATGACATAGAAACACAATAAGCAAAACAGTGCTTAATAAATATCTGAAAACTTGTACTGTCATCTGTACAAGTATGGGCTCATTATGTAATCTTCTGGTAGAATATGTCGGCTAAGTCTCTGCAGAAACAGAGTTTATGAACCAGAAAACAGTTTATTTATGTCAATATCTATTGGAGAAGTGTAAAAAGATGGATTGATCATGCTCTTGAGACATAATGCAGAAGGACCTGTCAGAGAAATCCTAGACAGAGAAGTCATCTACCTATCTATCTGTATATATGTCAGTGTGTTTGTATATGTATATGCATGTGTGTACACTCACCTATATGTGTGTGTGTGTATGTAGAGACAAATACATATGTATATTTTATTTTGTAAAAAAACTTAATATCTTTCCATTGCTATATGGGGCACTTCAGTTCACTTTCACTTTTAACTATCTCTTACTTAAGGATACTGCTCTGATGGAGAAGAACTATTTACATGCTGTTATTAAAATGGTTATATGCGGTCCTGTAAATTAGCAGTCAGAAGACTACATACTGTGTTTCAACACTGAAATATATTCTTTTTGATTTTATTTTTTTTTCCTCTTGCAATCTCTGTTTAGATGCAAGGTCAGTTCTAGAACATTATTGGAAATTGCTGCAAACAAGCTTGTTAGAATGTTGCAGAAGTGTAGCTTTGTAATTCTGACTGGCATTAATGGCGTGGTTTTTTTTTCACAGGATTAACTTTGTTCCTGTGAACAGAACCAGTGCTTCAATATTACTTTTCAGTGACATAAAAATTATTTGACCCTTGAAAAAGGAGTGTGAGAATGCAGTCTTTCCTTCCTTCACAAAAAAAATAATCTTGCTTTACTTCAATAGGGTAGAGCATTACCATGGATGTAAACAGAGCAGCAACTGCAATGATATTGAAACAATCTTGAAAGAGGTCAACATCTTATTTAAATCCTCATATAAATAATGAGGAATGCTTTCACTTAGCAGCTATATCGTGTGGGTGTTTCTTGAGCATGAACCCAGTTGGAGTTCTCCCAAGCTCTCTGGAGAAGGGAAGTATCATTACAGTGTGCCTAGTTCTATCTGCTTTGCTCACAGGGACAGACCTAGTAACTTTCATAGAAGATCAGTAGTACTGGTCCCAGTTCGTGATAGATTTTGGTGATAAGGAGTTGAGAAGGAGGCTGAATGCTTTTGTCTAATGTCTTCAGTCAAGAGGCTACAGGGAATATAGACTTAGGATTTTGTATGAGAATTTGAAGGAAAAAGTTGTACCCAAGAATACAGAGGACATACTCTACCTTGTGCTGATTTATATCCTGAGGGATATTTATCTGTTCAAAAAATTGAAAAAATTGATTGTTTTTCTTGTGTCAGTCCAAGTGACTGACCTTTGATCATCCTGAGCATGCAGGAGCAGGAAATGATAGTTATTTGGTGATTAAAAATACTTCCTTTAATAAAAAAGTATTGTGTAACCTGATCTTCAAATCCTTTGCAAGTGGAGAGATTTCTTTTTTTCGATTTGGGATTATCAGTAAATTGCTCTGCAAGGATGCTTGGAAAGTTATAACATTTGCTTCTTGTAATTTTCATGTAAAGAGTGGTATGGCTGTTGAAGAAAATGTGTGTGCCAGCTGGAGGTGCATGTAAATAGACAGAGCAACAGAACTTAGCCAAATTGATTTACATCAGTTTATCATAGTTAATGGATCAGATTTTGGAACAGCAGTTCAGGGATACTTGTATGAAAATAGCTCATCTTCTGTACCATGTGCGTAGCCACCTCTAGCTTCATAATCATGTTAAGTCTGTGTTTCTATTGTGGAAAAAATGTAAGTCCTCTGTCTTACTGGAAGGAAAACCAAATACATTTTCTAGTGAGTTATAAATTCAGTGATAGATAATGAAAATTAAGTTATTAATTAAAAAAAAAAAAAAAAAAAAGTGAGACTATTCAACAGAGAGGGTGAGATGTTTTTGTGTGAGGGTTTTTGTGAGAACTCTACAGCGCTCTGGCTGGTCTTCAAGATTACATGAATGATGTTTGTATATTTTTAAATCTCTTTCTGAAATGCTGCATTCCTACAATTAGGTAATGTAATTGTGAGCAAATAAAAAATGGAATAATGAAGTAAAAGGAATAAAAAACTAAAAGGCAACATTTTTTTCCTTATAAGATAGAAATTCTGATCAAGTAAAACTGTTATTTTTAACACCTAATTGTACACAATTGAGTCAGAATGTGTTTATCGTGCTGGAATATAGGGGAAGGACTATTACCTACCTCTTGGGGTAAGGCTATATAAAGAAAAAAGGAGTGGTAGTCATCTATAATGATGTCTGTAAAGTACAGTGGTCAAAAAAAAAGGTCTTACATCATTACTCAAAGAACAGAAAGGTATCAATATAGAAAGGCCTTGTGCAATGTAGCTGCACCATCTCAGAACTTCTATTGAAGTCATTGATTTTTTTAAAAACCTTTCATGTTAGGCCTCATTGTAACTGTTCATATAGCATCCTCATTTATTTCGAATTCAGTTCTTCAAAAGAGCTGAAGGGATCAAGAGACCCATTTTCAGCTGAGTTCTGGTGGAAAGTGACTGTGTAGTTTCCCGATTGCTTTGCAAATTGTAACTTTAAACTTCTTTTCAAAGGAAACTGTGAAATGGCATTTAGTAGGAACCTTTTTAACCATGGCTGGTTATTGGAGGGAAAGTAAAATATAAATCATTAATGAGGGTGCTGACTCTGAAATTCTTCATAAAATCTATTAAGTTGTAATTTTCAGTACATTGTAATGTCTCATTTCATACAAACAGAAATCTTGTCATAGGTTTCAAATACCCACAAAGAAGAGCTTGTAAAAAGCATTTATATATATGCTACATGCATTTATTTTAAATACATACTATTTTATTTTATTCTAATCTATTTATTTCTAATCTGAATTAAAATGTCTGGAATAAGGAAACCTAGATTGGCCTTCTAATCAAGTTTGTAACAATTATGATATTTCGAATTAATAACACAGATCCAAATTGATCTATGTATTCAAGACTCTACATGCTGCATGACAGAATGAAGAGATAGGTTACAAAGGAGTGCCAACAGACAGTTTCAGAGACACCCAAAATACAGTGTAAAACTGTGAAATATGCCCAAGGACAACTCAATTACCCTATGGTGATGCCATACAAGCTTGAAGACGTGTGAGATTTTTTCTTCTAGGTCTCTCCACCCTATACTGAAAAAGTACTGTTTGGTTCATATCATTGTCCTCATTATTACTGCAAAAGCACAGATTTTGTAATGAGATTATATGGAAAGTTGCACCCAGGCAGGATGTAATGAGCTACCAGTGCCTGACATTCTTTATAACCTGCAGGAAGCAGACATTCAAAGTCTCTAAGAATATGATAAATTTCATGTGGCTTTCTTTTCTGAGAGATGGTCAGGTGGTTTAGGTTTGAAATAGTAGATGTAGAGCACTTTCTTTTGAATACAGTTTGCAGACTGTTAATAAGGTCTTGGTATGGGGAAAGATGTCTTGAGTTTTGCAGCTCCTGGATGGCAATAGAGCAGTATTTTTTCTGCTACAACCAAGATGCTGTTCATTTCAAACATCTGTAATATGGA